ACCATTTTGTGATTTAAGGCAAATTACCTTTGGCTTCAGTTTTCTGTCTTAAAATTACCATTACTTGAAACAGCTGAAAAACTTTTTTTTTTTTTTTCATGTTAGCAATTAAGGTTATGATCCTGGATGAGGTATATTAATCCTCAAAGTTGTTACAGAGCCTATGACCGATTCTGAAGTTTGTTTCCATCCTGAACCCAAGTATCAATTAGGAACAAAATTAGGCTTTGTGGTAACTTGTCAGCCTCATAGGAGAATACCTGTCTCATTTAGATTTGTGGGTTTTTATTTTTGTATTTCCTCTTCATAGGATCAAAAGGACTGTCATGAGTGTGCTTCATGCCTGTAATCCCAGCACTAGAGAGGCTGAGGCAAACAAGACCTTGTCTCCAAAAACAAAGGACTGTTAAAACTTAGCAGAGTTTACTGGAATGTTGATATAGAGATACTTGAGGCATGAGAGCAAGCATTTTGATGATAATGGTCTAGAGGGCTAACCTCTAGGTGCAAAAAAACATGTTTTAAGTGGAAATAAAACATTTTAATATATTAAACTTATGACTCATAGCCATTGAAACCAGTTATTTCATGTTTCTTTTTGGTACTGGGGATTCAACCCAACCCAGGTTCTCATGTATGCCAAGTGCATGCTCTGCTCCTCATATTTGTGGGGTCTTCCCCCCAACCCACACACCAGTACTGGGGTTGAACAGGACCTCACACTTGATAGGCAGGCACTTTGAGCCCCCCAGCCCTTTCCCCTTTATTTGCTTCTTTAATAACAGATGTGGGCTGGGGATGTAGCTCAGTGGTACAGCACTTGCTTAGCCCTGAGTTTGATCTCCAGCATGACTACCCCCCTTCCCCTCCCCCCCAAAAAAAGTTATATTGATAAAATACTGGAAAGATTTCATGAAATTCTTCTTGTGCTGAGGAATTTTATGTTAATATATTAGTTAATCTTATACTTGTAGAGGTTTTAATTGCAAAGCAGGCTCTCTACCACTTTGAGCCACGATTCCCAAGTCCCATTTTTATCTGGTTAGTTTGAACTGTTTTTCCCAGGCAGGATTCAAAGCCTTTGGATCTCAGCCTCTCAAGTAGCTAAGATAATAGGCATGAGCCACAAGTGCCCATCTTGGAGTATTTCTTTTGAATTGATAAAAGTGTTCTGAGGTTGATTGTGATGATGGTTGTAGAGTTCTGTGAATATGCTAAACCATGAGTTACATGCTTTATTTTTTCTATCTCAATTTTTTTATTGTTGATTAGGGGTACATTGTGACATTTCTTTTTCCAGCTTTTAAAAAAATGTTGTTATTGTGCTGGGGGTAGGTACATTGTGACATTTACAAAAGTTCTTGCAATATATTATAGTTGAATTCCAGTTACATGCTTTAAATGGGCGAATTGTTATGGCCTGTAAAAATATGTCAGTAAAGCTGTTCTTCAATAAAAAGACAACTGTTGTAGTCTTACCATACAGTTCTCTGTGTGTGTGGTGTTTTTTGTTTTGTGTGTGTGTGTGACTGGGGTTTGAACTCTGTTGCATGCTTGCAAAGCACGTGCTCTGCCACTTTAGCCACACCTGAAGTCCATTTTGCTCTGGTTACTCTGGAGATGGGGGTATCGTGAACTGTTTGGCCTTGGCTGGCCTTAAACCTCCCAAGTAGGTAGATTACAGGTGTAACCCACTGGCCCCAGGTCTCTGCATTGTTTTGTTGATTTCTAAATAAAGGCAGTTACATACGGTTGAATCTGAACTAGTAGACTGAACAGAGTCTTTTTAGTATATTTTATTTGCTTTTGTTTATTTTATTTGCTTTAAAGTACTAAATGTTCATTGTTGGAAATTTGTGAAGTTCAGCAAAGGGAAGAAGATATGAATTATTTGAATTAGTATCCAGAAATACATCACTGTTAAAGTTTTGGTAGCATTATATTTGTGTCTTGTGTGTGTGTAAAAGATTCACAGCTACAATTAGTTGATTAAGATGGCATGTATATTCTACATCTCATGTAGAATCTGGGAGAGGGAGAAGACATGAAAATAAAAATAGGGACACTATTAGGACTTTGAGGGGAAAAATGGCATGTATAAACTGTGTGCTGGTGGCTCATGCCTGTAATCCCAGCTACTTAGGAGGTAGAGAATAGGAGGATCGCTGTTTGAAGCAAGCCCCGGCAAGTAATTCACGAGGCCCTGTCTCGAAAATAACCATCACAAAAAAGGGCTGGTGAAATGGCTTAAGGTGTAGACCCTCAGTTCAAGCCCCAGTACCAGAAAAAAAAAAATATATACACACACACACGCATATATATGTGTATATATATGTATAGGTTTAAGAATACTTTATTTTAGAAAATTGAATTACTGCTCCTGTGAGGTATTTTTGAAAAGCTAGGTTCAAGCCCTAGTACTGCAAAATAAAAGAGCAGAAGATACCACTTCATATTCTCTAAGATGTTTAACTTAAAAAATAAAAGACAAAAAGAAAACTTTAGAGTGTTGAGAATGTGGAGCCTCAAAAGTGCTGGGATTATGGGCCTACTCCACTCCTGGTGTAATCCTTTTTTTTTTTTTTTAAGCTCAATTGAGTTTTTAAGGGGCTGGTGGAGTGGCTCAAATGGTAGAATACCTGCCCAGCAAATGTTGAGGCCCTGAGTTCAGATACTGCCACCACCATAAAAAGTAAAATAAAGAATTGCATTTTAAAGTCAGCTTTGAAGTAAAAAATAAAGTATACTATTCATTGACTTTTGAATAATGTATACAGTTTTGTAACTATCACAGGAGGAGGACAGTTTGCATTGCGCTTGTTGCTATTACAGTAGTTTGTGTGCGTGTCCGTGTGTGTGCGCGCGCGCGTATGCATATGGTGCTGGGGTTTCAACTCAAGAAGATTTCTCGCCTGCTCTATCTACTCCTTGAGCCATGCCTCCAGCCCTAGTTTCTAATTTTCTATAATTTGATACAAATGAATTCACATCGTGTCTTTCACTTCTCTCCCTCCCCTCCCCCCACTTAGCATGATTGTTTTTGAAATGCAACCATGTTGCTTATGTTAGTTCCTTTTTATTTTAGTTTTGGGGGATCCTAGGGTTTGAACTCAGGACCTCAGTTTGCTAAGCAGGCACTCTACCACTTGAGCCACTCCATCAGCCCTGTCTTGTGTCAGATATTTTCGAGGTGTAGGGTCTCTTGATTTCAAACCATGATCCTCCTGATCTCTGCCTCCTAAGCAGCTAGGATTACAGATGTGAGCCACTGGTGCCCGGTTCAATTCCTTCTTACTGTTTTTGAGTAGTATTCTATCATATTGTGTACCACAAGTTCGTTCTTTCATTTTTGCAGAACTGGGGTTTGAACTCAGGGCTTGTGCTTGCAAGGCAGTTGCTCTACCATTTGAGCCATGCCCTCAGCCCCACAAATTGTTGAATATTTCCTTCATTGAAGGACATTTGAGTTATTTCCACATTTTGTCTATTATGAATAAAGCTGCTGTGAACATTTATGTACATTTTTGTGAAAATATATTTATTACTCTTACAATACCTAGAACTGGGATTGCTGAATCACATGGTATTTTAAGGAAACTGCTGGACTGTTTTTCTAATGTGTTTCACAGCAACTTGATATGTCTGTTAGTCTTGTATTTCTGAACTGATGGGTTTTGAAACATTCTTCTGGGTTACACATCTTTGAAGATTCCCCTTAATTTAATATACTATTAAGCACTCCGTAGGAAGTCATTGTATTATGCTTGTTTGTCCTATAAGGTATGGTTATGCTCAGGATATTAATGTATACTAAGGATACTTGCTAAGTGTAGATTCTTGGAACTTATCACCAGAGTTTCTAAATAAAAGGTGGAAAAATCACTTGATAGTAATGGTAGATGTTTCAATTTTTTAGTAATTATTTTTGTGTTTCTAAACCTTTCTAAAAGTATAATTTTTCATTCAGTTAGTATTTATTGAGCTGTTTTTGGTTATTTGCTTTCACATATTTTTTGCTATCCTTGGGATATCCCAAGGATTATCTGGCTTCCTTTATTTGCTCGCCACCTAGTGGTAACATAATAACCATCAAAAGTTTTACCTGCAAATGATTCATAGGTAGATAGTGTTCTAGAAAGAAGGATAGAAACATCTAGTTTATGTTTGCAAGCAACTATATTTTAGCTGTGTGAGTGAATCCCCTTTCCTCCTGACTTTTTTTGGAGGAGGGTAGGAGACCATACTGGCAATTGAACCCAGGTCCTAGCATACACTAACCAAGTACTCTACCACTTGAGCCATGCCCCCAGAAGACTTTTGATTTTTAGAACCTACTAGTTTGTAATTTATTTGTAAGGGACTACATCTTAGAGCCTGTAAAATTTTAATCTTTTTCTCAAAGTGCCAGCTCAATTAATTATACTGGAGAGTGGATAGATGTGCATTTGTGATACTCTTATTTACACACACACACACACACACATTCTTTCGGCAGTACTGAGGTATGATTGTTTTTGAGATAGGGTCTTGTTAGCTTTGCCCTGACTGGCCTTGAAATCTTACTCCTCCTCCTTCCACCTTTTCAGTAGCTGGGATTACAAGTGTGAAACATCATGCCTAGCTTCTGTATTTTTTTCCCTAAGAAAAGCAGCTTTATTAGGAGATGACAATGACAGTATGCTAGCAAGGTGCTGGTAGCTCATGCCTGTAATCCTAGCTACTCAGGAGACAGAGATCAGGAGGAGGAGGATGGAGGTTTGAAGGCCAGCCCAGGGAAATAGTTCAAGAGACCCCTATCTGTTAGGGTCACAAAAAGGGGGTGTTGGAGTGGCTCATAGTGTAGGCTCTGAGTTCAAGCCCCAGTAACCTCCACCCAAATAAAAAACTTCTGTTTTCTGTTAGCTTAGCAGGAAAATAAAAAATATCCCTGTGAGTGGGATATGTTAACAAAACTTTAATGTATGTAGTCTGATTTTTGCCTCTTCCTTTTTTCCTTGTAGAAATGGTGGAATCAATGAAGAAAGTAGCAGGAATGGACGTGGAGCTGACAGTTGAAGAAAGAAATCTCCTATCAGTTGCATATAAAAATGTGATTGGAGCTAGAAGAGCCTCCTGGAGAATAATCAGCAGCATTGAACAGAAAGAAGAAAACAAGGGAGGAGAAGACAAACTAAAAATGATTCGGGAATATCGGCAAATGGTGAGATCGTTGTATTTCTAAAGGAAGATAATTACTGCTTAAGTGTAGGCCTTGACATTGAGGTAATTTGTAATTTGGTGCCATTCTTCATTCTATTAAAAGGTTTTTTTTTGTGCTGGGGATTGAACTTCCAGGGCCTTGCACATGTTACTAGGCAAGTTGCTCTACCACTGAGCTTCATCCCCAGCCCAAAAGTCTCCATTTTTGTGTCTGTATTAGAGATGATTAACTTGCAAAGAGAAAAGGTTTATTTTGGTTCATGGTTTCAGAGCTTCCTGTCCATGACTGGGTGGGCCCTGGGCCTCTGATGGACATTCCGGATGACAATGTGAGGAGTGCTGGATAGCAAAACCACTTACATCATGAGCCAGGGAGCAAAGAGGAGGTGACATTTGAACATCTAGCCGAGCCATAGCATTATTCAGTGCTGTAATTTTTATGACAGAAAGACGTGATAGAGGTGGTTGTTGCCTGAATATGTCCTAATTTTTTTTGCCTTTTATATTTATAGTTTAAAAAAAATCTCCAAGGGAAAGAAGGCTTGTTTCTTTTGAGTGTCTTGACTTATGCCTCAGTCCTATAATGTAAGTAATTTGGCCTTAGATGTTGGACATTTTAGGTCATAGCCTAGTAGTCACCTGGATTAGAAATTACAGGATAAAGAGTATTTCAGGGTAGAAGGAAAGAACTTACTATGCTAGAAGCTGTAGAGTGCTAATGATCAAACCTAGGGCCCCATGTATGCTAGGTAAGTGCACTCTACCCTGATGTACGTGTTCAGTTTTGATCACAGCACAACTAAAGAACATATTTGATGCTTGCTTTTCTGTACTTCATTAACCTCCTCAGAGGTTAGCATTTAGGGCAATTCAGTAAATATTTGTGTATCTATTGTATGCCACACAATTTTGCTACGAATTGTAGACCCAAAGATGAAATATAGTTGCTATCCATATGGAGGCTCATTCCAGTTACTGCTTTTAAAATAGAATAGAAAATATCAGGGCTCGAGACACTATAAGGGTAATAATTATTTTCTGAAGTAATTTTTAGACATTTTGGATGTGTAAGTACATACAAAAAAGGGGGGTGATGGTGATACAGCTCAGTGTTAGAGTTTTGCCTAGCATAATGGTCAAGGCCCAGGGTTTGATCCCCAGCATTATCAAAAAACGAGAATAAAAAAATAAGTAAAATAAAATGACTCTAGAAATGAAGGTATTACCCCAGTTTATAGATGGCAGAACTATAGTTCTCAGTGGTTAAGTAACATACCCAAGGACATATAGGTGTGGTAAGTTGAGATTGACATTACCATTTCCCTCAAATACGTTGGAGCAAAGAATATATGGGTTGGTAGTAGACAAGTTTGTTGTCCCTCCTGAGAGATGAGTAAATGAGAAAGATGAAGGTAATGAAGGAATCATGAATGCTAGATTGTAGGATTTGAGCTAAGTCAGGAGAGCAACTGATAAATTGGGAGAAGGTAAAGTCAAAAGGACTTGAGGTCTGATGAGTCCCTAAATAAGAATAACGAGTAGAAGAATCAGAAACGAAGTTACATTCCAAGAGTGGAATGTTAGAATTTCAGACTTTGCGAATAGGGCAGCTCATTAGGGGTGTATTGACATGTGAAGGTCATGAATAAGTATCAAAGAGCTGTATTAAGTGGAACATGGATGGTAGTAATGCCTTGGTGCCATATCAGGTATGGAGAAGTGAGTTGTATATACTCAGTGAATGAGGGAGAATGTAGTGGAGATCAATTAATGACAGATACTGACATATCTTCAGAAGGAGTGATGTGGAGTATTGAGAGCAGTTATATCCAATAGGTAAGTGTCTAGGGGAATTTAGAAGCTCGTCCAATCTGTATTTGGAAAGTCCCTAGGAGGCAGGTAGTTTATTCAGAAGAGAGCTAGTTTACTTAGGATAAGGACAAGATTATAAGAGAGAAAGTGAGAGCATTCTTTATAGTGGGGAGATTGAACCAGACAGGTTCAACAGTCTCTAGATTAAAGAAAATGGAGAGCAAGATGAGTGAGTATAGGTGTGCCTTGCATTTTTTCACATAAACAGTAGATGAGTGGCAGTATTTCCTTTGGTCTGTAGATTTTTTGTGGTATGACTAGTTGTGGATCGCTACCATAAAGTAAGTGATTGTTGGAACAGTTAGGAATGTGAGTACTGGAGACAAAATTTCCTGAGTTTTTAAATTTTGTTTCTGTCCCTTGTAGCCTGCCTGGGTTCAAATCCTCTCATCCCACTTCTCTTTCTGGTGTTAAGGATTGAATTCAAGAACTCAATTACTTTGGAAAGTGTCCTGCCACTTAGCCACACCCCCACTCACTTTTTTTTTGTTTTTTTAAAGATTGGTGATGTTTTAGCAAGTACTGTATTTTATCTGTGTTCTATGTAAATGGAGGTAAAGTTGCTACCTCATAATAGTAATTAATTCTTGTAAGTGCACCTAGTAACACACAGCCAGTGTCTCATTATTACTCATTGTTAATTCTATAGTTGGAGTGGGAGTTTGTGTATGAATACATGAGCACCTACAAATATGTGTGTGCCAGTTTGTGTTTTAGGAGGAAAAGATAACTTTCTATAATCTGATGACTACTTTTGTCTGCTTTTCATGTCAAGAAAAGGGAAGGTTTGGAAAAGAGATGTTTAGTACTAGATTTTTTAAAAATCAGAGATAGCAGAATATGTAATTGTTTACAGAATTTCTGTACTTACAGTCTGATTTTTTTTTTTCCCTTCCCAGGTTGAGACTGAGCTAAAGTTAATCTGTTGTGACATTCTGGATGTACTGGACAAACACCTCATTCCAGCAGCTAACACTGGCGAGTCCAAGGTTTTCTATTATAAAATGTAGGTTCTATATTAGAAGGCAAATATGTAAAATTAAAAGTTTGCCTTACCATAATGACTTGAACATAGGTTCTCAATTTTATTTAAAATAGTTAATGTTGGAAGGTTAGTTACACGGGAGGAGTGAGTCTCAAATCTTAAAAAAAAAAAAGTATGTCATTTGCAAACTCACTTTTAGTGAATTAATCTTGTTGCATTTAAGATTATCAGACTATTGTAAAAATTGTATGAGCTCTTCACATGTTCACTTTCTTTTGCTTTTGTGGGTTCCTTTCCCCTAGCTAGAGATAACACATTTCATGGTGCAATCTTTTTTTGTTGTTTCTGTTGATACTGGGTTTGAACTCAGGATCATGTACTTGCTAAACAGGTAGTCTACCACTTGAGCCACACCACCAGCCATTTTTGCTTTAGTGTTTTGTTGTTGTTTTTGTGGTGTTGGAATTTGAACTCAGGGCCTATCCCTCAAGCCACCCCACCAGCCCTTTTTCATGATGTGCATTTTTTTGAGATAGGGTCTTGGGAACTATTTGCCGGGCTGGCTTTCAACTGCAAACCTCCTGATCTCTGCCTCCTGAGTAGCTAGGATTATAGGTGTGGTATAACTACTAAACTTGTGTGATTCTTTGGAACTACTTTTTCTGCTTCTGCTCTGTCAGGTGTGGTTTTTTCCTTTGGACTTTTTTGTGGTACTGGGGCTTGAACTTGGCTTCATGCTTAGTAGACAGGCACTTTTGTCACTTGAGCCATGCCTCCAGTTGTGTTTGCTTGTATTTGTCAACATAAAATCTCAGTGTAAAAAATTAAATAAATAGATAAGCTGATCATTTCTGAGAGTTTAAAAACATTAGTGAAGTATGTGTGTTGATACGTAAATATAATTTTGTACTTTCATAGAAAAATTTTAAGTTTATTTTTCTTTCAAAGCATTGTTTCTAATTGTAGTTTTATTTTTTTTTTTGTAGGAAAGGGGACTACCACAGGTATCTGGCTGAATTTGCCACAGGAAATGACAGGAAGGAGGCTGCAGAGAACAGCCTAGTGGCTTATAAAGCTGCTAGTGATATTGCCATGACAGAACTTCCACCAACGCATCCTATTCGTTTAGGTCTTGCTCTCAATTTCTCTGTATTCTACTATGAAATTCTTAATTCCCCTGACCGTGCCTGCAGGTATGTCATAGAGGAGAACAAAAGCACGCTTTGTCACATGCTCTTACTCTTGCCTCTTTCTCCCTCTCTGTGTGCCCCCTCCCCCACCTAGTTTTTTCTCTGTGAAGGGGTCTCACTATGTAACTCCAGTCTGGACTTAAACTCCTGACTCTCCTGCCTCAGCCTCCCAAGTGGTAATTTTACAGGTGTGTGCCCTTACACCCAGCAGAGGAACAAAACTGCTTAGTGTGAAGTGAAAGTGGTTCTAGAGGAACAGACAGCTACTCGTTTTACTGTCCTGAACATTCTATTTTGTATTTTCTGTTTTAACAATTTTTGGTCTCATTGATACATGTCATACTATTCTCACATTTTCACTTCAGTTTATTCCCAGTTTTTCATACTGTAAATGGATTGGACCCAGGGGTTTAGGTATCCTAAGCCAGTACTCTTACTACTGAGCTACATCCCTAGTCTAGGAATATCTGTGAACATTTTACTTTTTAAAAATTGGTGAAAAACACATGACAGCAGAATTTATGGTAAACATTTTTAGGTATATAAGTCAGTAGCATTAAGTATACACAAAATGTTATATAAACATTATCACTGTCTACTTACAAATTTCCCTTCACCCCACTCCAAATAAGTATAAATTACAAAGCAGTAACTTCCCATCCCTATGACTTTAATAATTTCTGTTTTACTTTTGTGAAGTTGCCTCATCTAGGTGTATCATAAGAGGATTCAAAATTTTGTCCTTTTCTGTCTGTCTTAATTTCACTTTGCATATTTCTAACATTAATATTATATAGCATATATCAAAAATTTTTATGGTTGAATATTAGCAATTTTATGTTTATGTCACATTTTGTATATCCATTTATCTGTTAACATACAGTTGTGTTTGTGTCTAACTTTCACCTTCATGAGTAGTGCTCCTGTGAACATTGGCATACCAAGTGAAAAATCCATGTTTTCAACCCTACCCAGGAGTAGAATTGCTGGGATATAGTTTCCTTTTCTTTGTGGCACTGGGGTTTGAATTTAGGGCCTCAGGCTTGCTAGGCTGGTGCTCTTACCACTTGAGCCATTCCGCTAACCCCTCTGTTTTACTGTTTTTATACAAACTGTTTTCTACAGGAGGCTGTACTATTTTAGGTTCTCACCAGCAGTATGTGAGCTATTTCCTCCACATTTTTACAAACGCCTGTTGCTTATTTATCTTAGACTGATTAATTTCTTTTGATAAAGGCTGAGCACCTTAGTTGCTTTTTGAGTCTTTCTTCAGCTAGGAATTCTGTAATTTTGCTGAATCTTAAGTTTTCTCTGAAATGTAAAAACATTTTTCCTTGCAAATGCTCTCCCATTAAGGTTTGTAGATGACTAGGCTGCGAGATACCTTGTCTCCTGTTGGATTTTTATTTATTTATTTATTTATTCCTCCTAGTACTGGTGGTTGAACTCAGGGTTTGCTTTGGTCCTCTGCTGCTTGAGCCACGCCTCCAGCCCCTTTTGCTCTGGTTGTTTTGGATATAGGGTCTAACTTTTTGCCTAGGCTGATCTGGACCTTGATCTCCCTATTTTAAACTTCCTGCCAGAGCTGGGATAACAGGTGTGAACCACTGGGCCCAGCTAATGATTGGTTGAGATGGAGTCTCATGAACTTTTTGCCCAGATTGGTATTGAACCATAATCTTACCTATTTTGCCCTGGTTGACCTTGAACTGGATTCCTCCCTGTGTGCTTCCCATGTAGCCAGGATTACAGATGTGAGCTACTGGTACTTGGCCCCTGTCTCACATTCTTATTCCTGAATTCAATCAGAGAAACCCTTTTGCCACATGTCCCAAAACCTTGTGCCACTTCACCTCCAGTCTCACTGGTGCCTGAGATTTTCTTAGTATTAGGAGGATCCATTTAAATATCAAACAGTATTAATTAATCAAAACACTGTAAATAGCAAGTTCAGTTTATCTGAGTAGATAAAAATTTAATGGAAGAAGCTGTTTAGCTGTTCGTATTGGTTGAATCACTATTTTCCAATCTGAATGTGTCCTCTAGATAAGCTTCAACTTCAGTAACCTCCATGCCTTTGCTTAAATCAAATAGAATCTTTCTTCTTTTTCTGTGTCCATTAATTAGTTCATACTTGATTTCCTCATTAGTTACTCCTCATTGGGACTGGAAATAGTATTTCTGGAATGAGACTTCATTCTACTTTGGTTTTCTTTTTGTTCATATATATATATATTTTTTTTTTCCAGCTTTCCCAAGATAACTTAGGTTTGTTGTGGATGCAGATGGTTTCTTTTTTGTTTGTTTGTTTTCCTACCAGTCTAGTATTGTGTGTGTAGTACCCAGCACACATTAAATGTGGGTTTTGTTTCTTTTAATTTGTAGTAAATGGAACTAGAGTTGTAGCTCATTGATAGAATGCTTGCTTGCCTAGCATGTACAGAGGCCTAGGCTTGATAGCCAGTGCTGGGAAAATAAAACCTGCGTTGAAAAAAATTGAGGTACTAGGGCTTGAACTCAGGGCCTACACCTTAAGCCACTCCACCAGCCCTGTTTGGCATTGAGTCTCTCGAATTGTTTGCCTGTGCTAGCTTTGAACCTTGAGCCTCCTGATCGCTGTCTCCTGAGTAGCTAGGATTACAGGTGTGAGCCACCAATACCCTGTGTTCCCTTCTTCATTTAAATACTCTTTTGAGTTAAGTTCATGGTTTTGTCCAAGATTTTCCTTTTGCACTAAAACTTTATTAAATAAGCAAACTATTATATCAGAAGTGATGGTGCACACTCAGAAGGATTGAAAGTTCAAGGATAGCCTAGACTACAAACTGAGACCCTGTCTGAAAAACAGCAAACTCAAAGTAGTGTCCTAAATATTTTTATTCCAAGTTTACTTACATCAATTTTATCTTTTATGCTTTACCTTTTGTATCATTGTAACCATGGTAAAGTGGAATAACTAAAGACTGATAGCAAACTTTTTGGATTTTTAAATTTAAGTTTTGTTAACATTTATTTCAGGTTGGCAAAAGCAGCTTTTGATGATGCAATTGCAGAACTGGATACTCTGAGTGAAGAAAGCTATAAGGACTCTACACTTATCATGCAGTTGTTACGTGATAATCTGACACTATGGACTTCAGACATGCAAGGTGACGGTAAGCAAACTTTCTGAAGTTAAACGTGTCTTTCAGTTGCTGGATCTTTTTATTCTTTTGAGAAGTGTCTTGTTATTTCTATAAACTAATGCGACTCACATCCTGTCTACTGTAAACTAAAGTTTGGCCTTTAATAATGTTTTGTTAAACTTAGTATACCTCCTCTTTCACACTGTGTTTTGAAGGGTATGGACATGATTCAATTGGGGAAGTGAGGAGAGGCTAATTCTATTTCAAACTAGATAGTATTGTTAGGCATTTATGAAGTAAGACCTTCTCTGTGTAGAAATTTATCTATAAAGGACCTCGTTTTCCTATTGAAAATGACATGTCCTGTCCTTCATTGGTCTGATGCAGTCTGTTAGGTTTTCAGCTGGAAATAGTTTATTAGAGTATTGTATATGACTTAATTGTGATTTGGGGTATGTGTGTGTAAATGTTAACTTATAAATGTAAAAGTCCAAATTTGTCACATTTATTAATTTTAAAGGTTTTATCCTTTGAAAAATCTTCCCCATTTTTTTTTTTATTTGTCCTGGGGCTACAGGGCTTTGTGCATGGTGCTCTACCACTTAGCTGTACCCCCAACCCCAAAGATCATTTTTATCTGGTGTAGCTGACAAATTTGTGTGATGTGATTGTTGTATTTTATAGATGTTGGTAGTGGAGTGGAAACCATTATCAGTTTTAGCTGCAATTCCTTTAAGAGTGTTACCCAAAGTGAAGCATACCTTGCATTGCTTGAGACTTACTAAAGTCTGCTTCTGTTGGTGAAATCAACATGCTGTACTTGTTTTTGGAAATGTGTAATGAAAGTGTGAAGTACATGTGTGTGGTCAGTTTCTTTCCTATGGAAAGATAGAGTCAGATTTCTGACTTAAGTTACGGTACTAACATGAGAATTAGGTGACTTTTAAAGCTCACTAGCTCTATCAAGTAATTATGTATTTGAATAGATATTGGCATGAAATATGTGACTTGTGTTCTACTTACACACTTTCCCTACAATACCAGATAATGCAGTAGAATACTTTTGCACACAGCACATTAGACAGCCACTACCAGCCTTTGGAGTGTATAATAAATTTACTTTCTCTGAACTCACTTAACGTTCCACCTAGCTTTAAATTCTATTGTACTTTAATGATAACTGTCAAGAAGAATGGCCAAACAGCTGTGGACTCTTCAGTCATCCACAGCTCAGAGATCAGTATTTTTATAGCCTCTTTGAGGGACTAAATGGAACCATGAGGAGAATGTGGTAAGCAGTATTGATCACTGCTTTTCTTCTTTTTTTTTTGGTGGTACTGAGATTTGAACTCCGGGTGGGTCTCACGTTTGCTAGGCAGGCACTCTATCACTTGAACCACTCCACCAGTTCTTTTTTGTGTTGGATATTTTTGAGATAGGGTCCTGCATACTGTTTGCCCGGGGACAGGTTTTGACCCTTGATCTTCCTGATCTCTGCCTCCTGAATGGCTAGGACAGGCTGGTGGAGTGACTCAGTGGTAGAGCACCTGCCAGACAAGCATGAAGCCCCGAGTTCAAACTTCAGTATCATCAAAATAATACATGAATTTAGGGAAGAAAAAAACAACTTTTGAGGATTTTTTTTTTTTTCTTTTTTCTTTTTGGTTGGGCTGGAGTTTGAAATCAGGGCTTCGTGCTGCTGATGCAGGTGCTGGACAGCTTGAGCGGTACCTCCAGGCCTGGGGATACATTTTTAAATGTGAAAGTAAAGGTTTCCCTGGATTTGAATGTCATTTTAAAGACATCTCATGTGCTGGTCACTGTGACTCACGTAATCCTAGCTACTTGGGAGGCAGAGATCAGGAGGATTGAGGTTCAAGGCCAGCCTGGGCAAATAGTTTGAGAGTCCCCATCTTGAGAAAGCCCAACACAAAGCATGTGTGCCAGAGTGGCTCTAGTGGTAGAGCACCTGCCTATCAAATGTGAATTCCGGCCCTGAGTTCAAACCCCAGTATCACCATCTCCCTACCCCCTGCCCTCCCAAAGACATTTGGTATAAATTCTTAAAGTAACTAAATTGCTAGATTATAAGATTAAATAGAAATAAAATTTATATTGTCTAGTGCTGCTAATCAAAGTGAGCTGTGGGTGGCTCACATCTGTAATCAGGATCTTAGCCTTCCAAGTAGCTAGGATTACAGATGTGAGCACTCTGTGTTGGGTATTTTTGAGATAGGGTCTTGCAAACTGTTTGTCTGAACTGACTGGTCTCAAACTGCAGTCCTCCTGATCTCTGGCTCTCAAGTAGCTAAGATCAAGGCGTGTTTGTTTGTTTTTTAATTCTAGAGAAATCTAGTTGTTTGAAATTCTTATTCAGACTAAAACAAGTGATTAAAATTAGTTAAAACAGACTAATTTTAATTTAATATTGATTCAATACTTTTGGTTTTTTTAAATGCTTGCAGTTAATAAATATGTTTGACAGTTTAACATCGAGAAAACTCAGATTGTCTGTTAACATTCTATTAAAAAGAAACTTACCTGAATTTATAATTCTTGTGGATAGCCGGAAGTTACTCAGTTCATCAGTTGTGCTGAAAAAGTGTAGTATTACATGTTCTATTAAATTGATATTGTGGCAGATTCATTTGCCAAATACAGAAAAATTGTTTTTGTGTCTTTTTGCTCCTGAATACGTTGGTGTCTGTGTGTTGGAACATACTTTTCAGAGGGTGGTGGGAGCTGGTACTGGGGTTTGAACTGGACTTTGTGCTTGCAAAGCAGGTGTTCTAGTACTGGAGCCACACATGCAGTTCATTTTTCATTTTGGTTATTTTGGAGATGGGAGTTCTTGAGAACTGTCTGCTTGTGGTGATCTCGAACCTTGATCTTCCCCATCTTGGTCTTCCAAGTTGTTAGGATTACTGCCTGGAACACTCCTCATTGAGTGCTTTCAGTCCTTTTCTCTAACCTGTAAAAGGACAGTTTCATATACAAGACTGTAGAGAGGAAATGTGTGCTCTCTCTTGCCTGTTCTCCCCACTCCCCCACCCAAATCTAGAAACAGTACCTATATAGATGGACTTTTTTCCCCCCTTTCTGTATACCTTTGAAGAAGATAATAGATTTCCTTCAGTGGGAAGGAAGGATTAGACAGATCATTTCGTAGGGTGAAGTTCATGCAAAGTAAAAACACCAAAATCTGATTCTGCTGTATCATTAATGTTTTCTTTTGTCCTGCTCTCTTGATTTATTTTTCTTGTAATGTTGCTTTCATGTGATTGTTTTCCCTCCGTTTCTCCTTGCAATAGATTCCTAAAGGAAAATTCAACTCTTCCTTTCCTAAAACTCTACTTTGTAAGTCATTATCATGGCACAGTGAATTCCGCTTTTAGTTTGGTTCTTCACTAATCATGCTTGCACATTACCATCCTGTTGCTTTCAAAACTGCCTGTTCTACATTCCCAGGTGCAATAAACTTCCTAAGACATCTATGGCCTGCTATCCCTGCCTATGTTTTGTTGTGTGATGAAATGATGTTTATGCCAAAGTTACTTGGAACTTTTGACACATCTAATTGGGTTGCTTATGAGTGAATTCTAGTGTGTTCTAGTGCTGTGTGTATTAGCTATATTTTGGCAGTGTATTCCTATTGAAAGTGAGAGTGAATGTGAATGTTTCTGAGTTTGAATTACATTATTGTCCTTTAAGGAAGCACTTGGATTTCTCGGTCCTTTCCTTGGTAAATGGTTATTTTTGTCTTTGAATGTATTTTTCTATATTACAAGTTAAAATAGCTATTGCTTTAACTTTTTAAGTCACATACCATTCCAAATATTTTTATTACAAGAGAGATTTTTAATCAGACTATGTTTATTTAACTCTTAATGTTATTGACAGCATTTATTATCATCCCAAGGACTTGATTGTTTACAAGCTGTCTTCAGGGTTTCATGTTTGTAGATAGCCAGTCTTAGTATTATTTGCCCATTGTAATAGAATAATTTAACAAGCATTATAAATAAATGGGTGAATTCTCACCTGAACTATTTTTTTTTAATGGCTGTTGGGTTGATTTTTTTAAAATTTTAAGTTAATCTTTTAGATAGTACTAGTATGTATGTGTGTGTTTGTGTTACAATTATTACTATTTTTTAATACATGGTGCTAGGGATTGAACCCAGGGCTTTGTGCATGCTAAGTATACATTCTACCACTGAACTATACCTCTTGCCTCTGGTTGGTTAATTGATTTATTTTGATTCAAACTAGAAACTATGTAGGAAATACAAGTGGTTAGTTTAAAGTACAAAAGAATGTGAATTTTATTTTTTTTTTATGCAAAGCCTCTGCATGCTTCTTTATTATGGCTGACTTGATTAATGCTTTTAGTAATAGGTAGAAGACCTTCAGTGAATAGACTGCCTTTCTGTTGCATGTCATAATGTAGTTGAATTTCCAAGGCTAATTGTCATGTTGAAAGGGAAAAGAGAGATAGCATGAGAATACTGGTCCAAATGCCCTTCTTTAATAACCTCAGTGGTCTGTTACACTTTGAGCATGTATGAAGCGAGGAATCTGGTGATAGCTCAGTGTATCTGGCCAAGATAGAAAATGTTACATGTTCACTTAAAATAGCAGAACACCACCACCAAAACATTACAGAATTCCTTTGGAGCATCTTACTGCTTACTTAGTTCACTTCATTTAATGCATTTCTGATACTGAGCTTGTGGGTAAATTAGATTTTTCAAAAAAATTCTTCAGGAGGTTATTGAGAAAGAGTATTTGACCTAAGATACACATGGAAGCTTGAAAATCATTTTAAGAATATTACTACTTTGGCTGTATACTTAAGAGCTTGTTGAGCATAAAAACATTGACTTTATGCATCAGTTTTGGGTTTTTTGTTTTTCCCCCATTTTGACTTGACCATTTCAGGCCCTGATGAGCAGCACTTCTTGTTTAGGCATCTCAGGTGTCGACGGTGGTAGCGTCCTTTGCCTGTCTGTGTTTGATACCAGTTGGAGCAAATAAGAAGAACCTCTGCTTGGAATGACAACTTTATGACCGCTGTAGCCTAATGTCGGTCTGAAATAATTTTCTTTCATTCTTTACAGGTGAAGAACAGAATAAAGAAGCGCTGCAGGACGTGGAAGATGAAAATCAGTGAGACATAAAAGCCAACAAGAGAAACCATCTCTGACCACCCCACTCCTCCCTTTCCCACCCCCTGGAAATTCCCCATTGTCACTGAGAACCACAAAATCTGACTCACATTTGGTCTCAGAATTTAGGTTCCTGCCCTTGTTTTTTGTTTTGTTTTGATTTTTTTTTTTTTCGGGTTTTTTTTTTTTTTTAATCGTTTCCAAAAGTTCTTAAAGGCAAGAGTGAATTTCTGTGGATTTTACTGGTCCCAGCTTTTAGATTCTTTAAGACACTAACAGGACTGCATCGAGGCCTTTTCAGCATTACTGTATTATCTCCATGCCAGATGTGGCAAAACCCACATTAGAAATGGAAATTATATTTGAAAGCCATTAGACTTTGAGGTGATTTATCTTAGGAAAGAGATTAATCACACTATAGAGGCATACATGGTGTCATTTTTCCTTTTTCTAATTGTTTAAATAGAATTTTATACCAATGTTTAAACTTAATTGGGTGTTAGCTTGAAGTGGTGTTAAAGGTTGTTTTGGGGGAGTTTGTTGTAATGGTTTTGCTGTAAAAAGTGTTTCAAACTCTGCTAAGTGTTGCTGAAAAGCATGGTGCTGGTAACAGTTCAACAATCCGTGGCTGCTCATTCTTGCCTACTTTTACTCTCCCTCTGAAGCAGGTTAGCATTGAAGGTCGGAAGGAAAAGCCTGCATGCGTGTTCAATTCTTTGTTTCTTCTCTTTCCCTCTCCCCCCATCTCTCCTCCCTCCCTCTCCTTCGCTCGCTCAACCTCTTTTGTTCAGTAAGTGTAACTTGAAGCTAATTTGTACTACTGGATATCTGACTGGAGCCACAGATACAGAATCTGTATTGTTCTTACTGAAACACAGCATGGAATTAACATTAAACTTAAATAAAACAAACCTAAATTAAAAATGCCAAATACATTGCGCCTCCATCCTTTATACTTCTAAAATAAAATCTCTAGTCCAAACACATTGACAGTATTGTTTGTCTGAATGTGAAAAGATACCCCCTTTTCTCTTCCATAAATCACTTGTTTTCCAAATATATGTATTTTCGAAAAAATATTGTTTGTAATCTAGTTGTGAAGAACATTTAGTAATCTCAGTCAGATTACTAAGTGTCCTGTCTTCAAACCATTTAGCAGCACAGTATTATGTTAATCATTAAAGTATAACATGCATATTAATACAAGGTGTAATTATGGGTCATTTTCTACCATGGAGTTTTGGGTACAACAAGTAAGTCTGAATGTGTCAGAATAATCTTTCTTTGAGGTAAAACTGTATATTCCCCATAAAGGTCAATGGCAGGAGCAGAGAGTAGTTAAATTTATTCTTAGTTTTATCTTACGAGGAAAGTTCCTTCCAGAGAAAGTTTTTCATTGTGTATACTTTTATTTTACAGACCAATTTACATTTGCAGTTAGAGCTTATTTTAACATTGATATACACTTGAATTTTTAAAAACCAGTTTTTCTTTTTTGTTTGTTTGTTTTTAATATTGGTGTTTTGGGCCTCATGCTTGCATGGCTGGGCACTCTACCACTTGAGCCACTCCACCAGCCCAAGTTTATTTTTGGGTAAGTTCCCAATCTTGCTATTAGAAAATGTGCTGCAGTAAATACCCTTGATTTCTGGTTAAGTATTTGTGTTTGTAAGGTATGGTTTTGAAATCCTGTGTCAGAAAGTGTTTATCTGAATTGCTGGGATTGAATGAAAACATTTTGCAGTTGGCAATGCTTCCCATGTTTGAATTTTTTTTTTTTTTGGTGGTAACTGGGGTTTGAACTCAAGGTCTCACCCTTGCTAGGCAGGTGCTCTACCACTTGAGCCATTCTACTAGCCCCATGTTTGGCTTTTTCTAAAAGGGTATGTTAACAAAATGTATGTTCCAGGTTCGAGTTTTTAGTAAAGATCATGGAGATCAACAGATTGGTTTTTTATCTGGAACATATGCCAGCAATTCTAATAATGTTTGGTGAATTGCTTTTCCATCAAATAGTTGGAAACAGTGTATACAAATCATTCTTTGCTATTCATTTGGAGCAACCAATAAGAGTTCTACAGGTTAATTTCTTCTGTATTCAACATAAAGTGACCAGATACCTGTTACATCTAGGGCCAAAATTGAAGGAATTCATAAACCTATGATAGATTTCTACACTCAGGAGATGCAGTTTTGCCAACTGCACCCTACTGAACACTTTGCCTGACACGAGGACTTAAAAGATCCAATTAAATACAAGTCCTGATGTTTTTACAAAATACTCTATTAATGGAGGTGACTGTACTGTTGTAATGAACCAAATGAATTGGTTTATCACAAGTGCCTTGTGAATGTTTTTCTTAGTTGGCAAGTGTAGACTTCATGTAGCCAGCAAACTCAGGATTCCATGAGCACTTTCAAAAGGTACAGAAATTTTGGTAAAGGGGGAAAAGAAAAAAACCACCTTTGGAGAAACCTGTAGAAGTATGAGGTACTTAAGAAGGAGGAGACAGGGTTTTTAGATCTCTAGAAGTTTGGGCTGGTGGAGTGGCTCAGGTGGTGGTGTTGCCTGCCTAGCAAGTGTGAGGCTTGAGTTCAAACCTCAGAGATAGTTTTTTTTGTCAGAGATAGTACTGCCAAAAAACGTTTGGAAGATGGGCGGCCAGGCAAGGCTGTAGAAGGGTGGTTTGCCCTTTGGGAGTGATCACTCACTAGATCTGTGGGCTGGAAAGGTGGAGTTGTACCCCAAAGCTTCAGGTTTTTTTTCTTTTTTTTTTCCTGTGGGGTTTGAACTCAAGGCCCCACACTTGCTAGACTTAGGCAGGTACTCTACCACTTAAGTCACTCAACCCTGTTTTGTACCTTTTTTTTTTTTTTTTTTTTTTTTTTTTTGAGATAGGGTGCATGCAACTATTTGCCTTTGCTGGCTTCAAATGTTGATCCTCTGTCCTGATCTCTGCCTCCTGAGTAGCTGGAATTACAGGTATGAGCCACTGGTGCTTGGCTGCAGTTTGTGTTTTAATTACAGGTCTTAACAGTACTTTGCCTTGAAATTTTATTTTTTTGTGGTACCGGGGTTCAAACTCTGGCCCTACACTTTGAGCCATTTCACCAGCCCTTTTTTTGTGAAGGAATTTTTGAGATGGGGGTCTCTCAAAACTATTTGCCCCTTTGGCTTCGAACCATGTTCCCCCTGGTCTCTGCCTCCTGAGTAGCTAGGATTACAAGTGTGAGCCATTGGTGCCCAGTTTGAAGTTTTGCTTTGACATAGGGTCTCATTATGTAACTGATTGAGTTCCTGAGGCAGGAACTCAATCCTGCCTCAGCCTCCCCAGGGCTGGGATCACAGGTGTGTGTCACCATGCCCAGCAAAAAAAGCTTTAATCCCAAAGAGTTTGTAAGGAGTTTATGACTCTGCTTGTCTTCTGGTATAGGTGGACAAAAGTAAATCACCTGAGGTTATATTTTGCTCCCTTGCTATTTTTATCGGTACTGGGAGTTGAACTCAGGGCCTTGGCATTTGCTAGCCAGGTCTTCTACCACTTGAGCCATACCATTTAACCCTTTCTGAGTTGGTTATTTTTGAGAATGGATCTCACTATGCTGTGGCCTGCCTGAGCTGGGATCTTCCTATTTGCGTTTTCCTCCTGTAGCTTGGATGATGTGTACGCCAGCCACTACACCCAACCATTGGTTGATGTGAGGTCTCACAAACTTTTTGCCTGGTCTGACCTGGAACCATGATCTCCCCCATCTCCGCCTCCCAAGTAGGTGGGATTGCAGGCCTGGGGCCCAGCTTGCTTTTGCTTTTGAGATAGGGGCTCATGTAGCCCAGGCTGGCCTCAAATTCTGTATGCTCTTCCCTCAGCCTCTCCCAAGTGCTGGTGTTACTGGAGTGCACCACTACACCCAGCTATTTGTGTGTGTGTGTGTGTTTAGCCCTGGGCTTGCAGCACACTATAGGCAAGGGTTCTGTCACCGAGTTACAACCTCAGCCTGTGTTTTTTTTTTTTCCTTTTATTATTCATATGTGCATACAAGGCTTGGTTCATTTCTCCCCCTGCCCCCACCCCCTTCCTTACCACCCACTCCGCCCCCTCCCTCTCCCCCCCCTCAATACCCAGCAGAAACTATTTTGCCCTTATTTCTAATTTTGTTGTAGAGAGAGTATAAGCCATAATAGGAAGGAACAAGGGTTTTTGCTGGTTGAGATAAGGATAGCTATACAGGGAGTTGACTCACATTGATTTCCTGTGCATGGGTGTTACCTTCTAGGTTAATTCTTTTTGATCTAACCTTTTCTCTAGTACCTGTTCCCCTTTTCCTATTGGCCTCAGTTGCTTTAAGGTATCTGCTTTAGTTTCTCTGCGTTAAGGGCAACAAATGCTAGCTAGTTTTTTAGGTGTCTTACCTATCCTCACCCCTCCCTTGTGTGCTCTCGCTTTTATCATGTGCTCATAGTCCAATCCCCTTGTTGTGTTTGCCCTTGATCTAATGTCCACATATGAGGGAGAACATACGATTTTTGGTTTTTTGAGCCAGGCTAACCTCACTCAGAATGATGTTCTCCAATTCCATCCATTTACCAGCGAATGATAACATTTTGTTCTTCTTCATGGCTGCATAAAATTCCATTGTGTATAGATACCACATTTTCTTAATCCATTCGTCAGTGGTGGGACATCTTACCTCAGCCTGTATTTTGTTGCTTAAAGAAAGATGGAGTAAACTTTTATATCATTGAAAAGGGGAAATGTCCAACTTGGCGGCCCCACACAGAGGCCTCCTGAGAGCCATAAAGATGATTAGCTGCTATTGCAAGGACAGTAAGGAATATACACACTGAGACATTGGGGTAGAGATTAACCATGTTCAGATTTTAGAATTGTAACAAATCTAGAATGAGTCCTTTGTGAGTACCTTCAGAAGTGATAATTCCCAGATCCAGCCTTGGTCAAGAAAAATTAACCCCTACCTTGTTTTTCTCAATTTGAGTTTCTGTGTTGCAGGATGGCTCAGAGACTGAGAGGGCAGCAAAGCTTTTGGGAAGCAAGTTTATTAGGTAAGCCTTCAGCAACTCAGCAGACTCGGGGCTTGCTTTCTTTATATAGCATTTAGAGCAGGTCACAGAAATGGGGGGAGAACACCTTGTCCCATACATAATCACAGCTTATTTCATTGGCTGTTTAAATCTCTGGGGCGAGGTGACCCTCCTCTAGTCTCCAGGTAACATTCCCCAACTCCGGTTTTCCTTTGTTTTATTGTAACACATTAATCTTTCCTCTCCCTGCCTTCCTGCCACAACTAGGCTTACAATTGACTGTACTTTGTGTGTTTCTGAGCTCAGTCTCATGCTTGCTAGGCAAGTGCCTCTTGAGCTACACACCCAGCCCTTCTAGGCTTACAATTGATAAAACTAATACTTCGTTAACATTGAATGCCAGCTGTGTACTGGGCTCTGGGCCCATTCTTAAAGAGTTTCAGGAGTCTAG